ACGGACAGACGGACAGACGGACAGACGGACAGACAGACAGACGGACAGGGCCAAATCAACTCAGCTCGTCACCCTGATCAAGAATATATATACTTTGTGGGGTCTGCCACGCCTCCTTCTGCCTGTTACATACATTTCAACAAAACCATTATACCCTGATTTCCCATTTTCAATGGGTTCAGGGTATAAAAAAAATCGCTGTCGCAAGTTTCGCCAGATGCCGCTTAACCCGCAGCGTAAAAATTTGATGAGTTTGGCATTTTCTTTAATTGAAATTTGTGATCTTTTGAAAGCTTTGCCGCGACCTGAAAGCCGGAGCGCGGTAGCTGTAGCTAGTAGTTTTCAAGTGCCACAGGGGCCGTCAACTGGCTGCAGTCACTTCAGCACACACACACACACATGCAGAGAGAGAGAGTCGCTCACACATGCGATTAGCTGCGGATTAAAATGTCACCCCTTTTGCGCTGCGTCACGCACAAGATACAAGATACAAACGCGCACGCTATAGATACATATAATTACAAACAAATAAAAGTCATGACAGCAACCCACACAGACAGAAAGAGAAAGAAAGAGGGAGAGAACCATGTGTGTGTGTGTGTGTGTGTTGGTCCAGGTCCAGGCTTGGGGCATATGCAACAGTTCACACGACCTGGCTGCCACTACTAAAGGACTAACATCGGGTATCTCTCTGTCTCTGCCTCTCCCTCTCCCACTCCCCCACCCGCTCTCTCTGATTCGCATTTTAATAATCGGTTTATTATGCCTGTGTGTATGTGCTTAGCTGCTTATAAAGAGCCAAGTGTTGTTTGCTATTTGCCTATGCGGAGCCCAGCCCGCCCCGCCCACACTTCAAAGCGCTGGCAAAGTTTTCTGCCGGGCAACAAAGGAAAAAGTAACAGAAGAAAGCCACTCAAAGTATCTYTGAAATTAACTTTATTTATTTAACTACTTAAAAGCAGATTAACGCAATTACACACTTGAACTGATTTTATGTAAAACAGTTGAGCAAACGGAAACGCAAAACGGAAACGAAAACGGAAACGGAACAAACAAAAGCGTAGTCAGATCCAGGATAAATGTAAATGCCGCAAAAAATACAAAATAAAAAGCCAAATCAGCGGAAAATCCATTGAAAACTGAGACAGTTGAGATACATTCAAATACAAGGGAAATGCGTGTAATCAAATCTTATCAATTCAGCCACATTTGCGTTTTCCGGCTTACATTTTTCCTTAGATATTTCGCAATGGAATTTGGTACACACCAATCTTGACATTAGATTATTTTTAGTCATTGAAAATATATAAATATAATA